AGAAGATCAAAATCAGCTGCGCGAGACACAGTCAGTCCATGATAATTGGAAACAAAGATGGGGGCGGCACGAGACTCAGGTGAAAGCATAAAAATGCGGTGGTGGGTGACAAAATCCGTAGTTTTGTCTAAATGCGGGCCCCACTGGGAGCGCCATCCCGGCCCAAAATGCGACTGACAACAAGATGCCCTTTTCGATCTTTTGCTGCACACCTCTCACTTGCTGTGGCACATGAAGCCGTGAATGCAGCCCCCGGGCATTTGCAGCACGCGGCACCTCCCGAGAACTCTCTCTACCACCTGGGAGCTCGCTTTAGCACGATGGAATTGCAGGAGGGCCACGTCTTCAGCCACCAGCCAACAACGACCATCACAGCTGAAGACAGGGACGGAAAACCCTATGCCTGGAGCGGGCAGGAGTTCAGGGGGCATGCAGCATGCAGCGTATTTTTTTGCAGATACTGCAGTTCAAGAAACGGCTGCAAACGACGATCCGCCCAATCCGAGACAGCTTTCCGAAACGCAGAAGCAAAGGATGCTGTTGTGGAAAGAGATCCGCCGTGCCAAGAGGGCTGCGGCTGCTGAGGCGAAACAGCAAAAGAGGTCGAGACGCCAACACTGACCTTCACAGCTGAAGACAGGGAAAGAGCTCCGTGCCAAAAGGGCCGGGCGTGCTGCATTTGCCGGCATATCAGTTCGCGGTAGTGGCAGCGGCAGAGAGGTAGTGCCAGGTAGTGCAAGCAGTGGCAGAGAAGCGATGGAAGTGGAAGCAGCGCCTGTGCTCAAGAGAACCCTCAAGCCAGGACGAAGCCTCACAGAATCGCTATGATGCTGTTCACACCAACTGGGAGAAGCTGCTGGCTGTTTGGGATCATCTGTGGCTTGGCTTGCGTGTGTGTGTGTGTGTGCGGAATTGGGATTGAGGCTATGGGATTTCGCGAACAGCGGTTTATGGGAATGTTAGTTGATGTACTCCCAACATGTCGCTATTAGCACTTTTAGATTTTAGAGTTGAAAATCGTATTCATCCACTCAGAATATTCAGGTGTGCGGGGCTGACTCTTTTTTGAGACTTCGGTTTATGGGTCAGAGTCTCGTGTGCTGCGTCTTTGCAGCGCATTTTCAGTGCGGTGCTCCTTGGGGCCAGTAGTTCACTGGCTTTTCAGCATTAGGTTCATTCGATCTGGAATAGCTGTAAAAGAAACTCTGACTCCGGAACCCTTACCCCAAACCAATAACCAGCAATAACTTCGCTTGGCTTGTCCGAGTGTGAGCGCCGAAACCATGAACCCTGAATCAATTATGCCTACCTACACGCTTAAACCCTAAACGTGGAGCCTGGAGCCTTGCCTGCCTGGTGCGAGAGCGACGGTCGAAACCCTTGAACCCCAAAACACCCTTAACCCCCCCCCCCCCCAGTCTTCAGTGCTTTGGTTTTTCAGGCGATTGCACAAGTCCTGATGCAAAAAGTGCTTTGGTTTCACACAGCCGACTCAAGACCACATTGCCTCGCTTGGATTGTCCGAGTGTGAGCGCCGAACCCGCGCTTGGAATATATAGCATCCTTTGATGCCGTAGCGCCGAAGCACCTAGAACGCTATGAAGCGATAATATCCTGTAGGGCTCAGTCGTAGTAGTCGCCTTCACTGCGGAGGTTGAAGTTCCACATTGAGGACTTGCTGGATGCTGGGTTCGACTCCGACACAGTGAAGGACGGGGCCTCTCGTGATAGCTATGCAGGGGCTGCATAGTATGGCCCAAACCCAAGAAAGCAAGGCTTGACAGTTCGTTTGTTGACAAGATCTGACGGGAAGAAATGAGCTCATTGTTTAGCTCGAGCTTGCCTCTCGGCAATCGCCGTCTTTCCTCCAAAGTAGCGCCTGGATTCTTCCCATCCTTGAGCCCTGAAGCTTTGCAGGACTTCCTCGATGGATGTCTGCAGTACCAGGTCCAGCTTCTTCCTCAAAGCAAAGACTTACCTTCCTCTCAGGGGCTGAAGCGGAGCTTCTTCACGTTTTTGCAGAGGTGTGCAGGCCCTTCCGACAGCTGAGTCTCAGAGTCTCAGAGAGGAGCAAAAGCCCGGTCAACAGAGTCGATACCCTGGAGAACTACTTTGGCATTTGGCATTCGTACACCTTTGGCTTGTAGCCGAAGCACTAACCGGAGTAATGGCACTGGAAACACAAACCAATGAACACGTGAGCATCAGTTTTCGCACATCTGGTTGCATCCAGAGTACTTCGCAGGAACACGGCCCGACACCCGATACTCTGAAGTCCAAACAGCCTGAACCGCGTCCCTACTCTGTCGGATGCGGTTTTGGTCATAGAAGGTGGGCGGCCGCTCCCAAGTGAAGCAGCTCCTCGCCACGGCGGACACTGTGGCGATCTAGAGACCTAATGTTGGGAATAGATGAGGGTTTCGGGGTTTGTTCTGGCAGAACTTGTACTGATTAATCAGGCTTCTACAGTAGCTCTTGTTGATCATGTGAACCCAACAACATCTGGCAGAATCTGGCAGTGGCAGTGACAGGAGCTCCTGCAGTAGCTCTTCTTGATCATGTGAACCCAACAACAGGGGCAGTAGTAGTAGTAGTAGTAGTAGTAGTAGGGGGAGGAAGAGGAGGGGGCGGCAGTAGCAGCAAGAGCGGCATACGTATAACTGGTCGTCGGTTGTTGCTTGTAGAGGTCGTCATCCTTGTAGTTGGAGTAGCAGACGAACAGTAGAAGGACAACGGCAGGAGCCGCGGTGATATAGCAGCTGTCGTCGAGAAAGCAGAAGCACGGGGCAGCTTTTCGAATTGAAGGTAGGCTTGAGCTCGCTTGCAGTCTGTGGCATGGTCGCTCACAAGGGTCAAACTGATGGTTCCAACCCAGTATTTACAACAAATTTACGCGAGAGGGGAGAAGCCACTCTTCCCGCATGGCATTTGACACGAATTCGAAGGGTCGAAGGGCCTGCGCAGTGGTGAATCAGGTTTTGTACTGTGTGCTTCGACTGCTTTGTGGAGTGGTCCAAATTGAACACCTTTGATCGAGTGGCGAAGTTTGGAGCTCGGTCATTGGTCAACACCTGCAAGCTAGGACATCAATGAAGCTATGCAGCAAATTTGTGATCAGGAGGTTTAGCTGTTTAGCTTCTGACAGAGATGACAGAGCAGTAGGGTTCCATAAGGGCCTGTGCCTTTTGGGATGCAGTTGTGATCTCGGTTCCACGGGACTTGGGCCGTTGCTTTCCCACTGCGTGGAAGTCAGGGTTTAATTCGACGAACGCGGCCTGGAAAGCCTGGAGAGCACGCGAATGATGGCTGTTCAGGCCTCTGGCAGCCTCCGGAGATCATGCCCTGTCAACAGGATGTCGTGGTTCGATATAATCACGCCGTCATAGTCTATTACACAGTTCAAGAAAGCTTCTGCAGGTGGCTGCTGCTGCTCCCAAGCTAACAGTTCGCAGAACACACAGAGCTACGGCTGTTCATGGACTTAAGATTCACGATGTGGTGGGCTGCTGATTCAGCTGATTCAAAGTCAAGTAATTTCAGGGGCAGAGAGAGAGAGAGAGGAAAGGATTCCGTGGCCCAGCGCATTGTGCGAAGCGCAGGTCTCGAAGAGAGCTGCGCCAGCATGACTAATAGCTCGGAGTGGTAGAATGATGAATGATGTCGGAGACCACGGACCTATCGGGACGATCGGGCTGGAAATAGGGACTTCGCTTCGGAATTGCGAGCAGACGGCAGCTAGATGCCAATATCTACCACACCTTAGGATAATGCATGCAGGCCATCTGTGTATCATCCAAGCAATTATGAATGCAATCTTTACAGCATCCCGCGGTGAGTTGCATTCATTATCACTGCTATTTCATCGGGCCCTGTTTTCTTGCCCCGAAGTCCGAACCAAGGAAGGAGCATCGCATGTGTACGTAAAGTCTTTGGAGGCCCTCGAGAGTTTTTGTGTGTTATGATGCACACGGTTTGGGAGGGATTCCGTGAATTTTCGCTAGTGGCCCATTTCGCAGCCTGATGTCCTCACTGTGACAGTGTGCGCTCAGCGGCTTCGTGCAGAATACACCGTATTGAGGCGCAGGACATCTCTCAATGACGAATATTTATGTTTGTCTGCTTGTGTATATGCACGGCAGCTAGGAGAAAGCCATACAGGAATGCATTGAAGTCCGACAAGCCAAAGGGGTATCGGAAACACCGCTCAGATTCCAGGAACCACGCGAGTGCCAGACGCTTCCCACAGCAGGTGGTCAAAGATTAATCCACGTTCCTGCCTTCTGATGCTCGGAGAAAGATAAGAGCTCGCCTTTCACAGCTGTGCCAGGCCTTTGGGTCGATGTGATCTGTCCGCTTGATCTACAGCTCTGGATTTTCCGAGAACAAGGATACCGTTATGATACAGGTCATTTTTGGCAGGCAGCCCGAAACAATACATACCCAGAGACTATGTACTTGTATGTGCAAATTGCAGCCTGTTGTTTTTCATTGTCCGATTTGAACTGCCGTACAGCCAACAACGCATAGAGCCTCAACGCATGTGTGTGTGTGTGTGCCGACCCTCATGCCCGGGAGAGAGAGAGACAGAGAGAGACTTATTCACCTTCATACAAGAAAGGATTCGTGCAGAAGCCGTGCCATAACCCAGACTCCCAGCAATGTGTCGGTGTCCAACGTATCTTGGAATCTCCGGCCGCTTCCATATTGGACAGGGTGGTACGCGTTCCGCGAAAAGTTGCTGGAGCTAGGCTTGAAGACTCCGATGGATCGGCACAAGAGTTTTTGGGGTGGCTTGGGATTCAGGTGGTGAACAATGCAGTGGATCTACAGAGAGGTCACTGCCTGTCGCAGCCTAGCATCCCTCCAAGGTTTCAGCTCTCAATCTGGCTGTATGGTTGTTTATAGGTCCCCTGGTGTCTACTTCTTCCCAAAGCTTGCACTTTGAAAAACGTCTCGGGCCGAACCTGTGATCAGAAGACCAAAGCGCAGCCCAGACCAAGGCGTCGACTTCCGCCTCTTCGACGCCGCAGCCGCCATTGGCACCGCCGATGGCTGCACGCTCGCAGAGGAGTTGGGACTTGGCGCTTCAGGAAGGTTGGCTCTTTTGGTGCCTCTCTCTCTTTGCCTGGGGCTTGGGTCGTCGTGCCAAGGTAAGCTCGGCCGCCAAGTCTCTGCCTGTGCTAGCAGCCGAGCCGGGAAGGGCAGCACGGGAGAGAAGATGGTTTTCTGCAGGGCTTCAGCACATTCGGAGTGAATGCAGCGCTGAGAATGCTGCTGCGGCGTTCTTCGGGACTAGGAAGCTCGCATAGGAGGTGGCAAGAGCATTCAAAGCGAGCGAGACTTCGCGAAACGCATGAGAAAACGTGAGATCGAGGAGCAAACCTCTCGAAAGAGACTAGAGAAGTTGACAGGGAGAAGAGCTTGAAAAAGAGAAGCAACGCCGTCGAAAAGGACCGTAGGATGGGTGCGACAGGAGCAAACCCGTCACAGAGACTAGGAAACTTGACTAAAGGAGAGTTCGAGAAAGAGGAGCAAACCAATCGAAAAGGACTAGAAGGTTTGAGCAGAAAGACGACACCGCTTGAACACCACCAGAATGTGTGTGTGTGTGTGTCTGTCTGTCTGTGTCTGTGTCTGTGTAATTCTGCTGTACATGCGACAAACCATTTGCAGGGGGCCAGGAAGGGTGGGGAGGGGTCCTGGCCAACGAAGACCCCCCTCCCCAACCCCGTGAAAACGTACCTGCCAGTATCCGCCCTGGGCCCCAGCGCGGGCAGCTGGGGGATACAATCATCTTCATTTTCATCTCCATTTCATTTCGTGCTATGCCATTCCTGGTGTCTGGCACAGCGAGGGCATGACCCGTTCCCTCACGGATCATTTCACCTTGTGTTGGGCATGCCATTCCGTCGGTCTGGCATACATGGCACCAAAAATTTCATCTCATTTGTCGTTATCATCACCATCACCACTTTCATCATATTCACCATATCAATCTCGTGCTCAACCAGGCAAGGTCGGATATGCGCTGGCACCGTTGCCAAAAGAGCTGTGTTACCATGGAGCTCCCTCATGAGGGCCCATGGGTTTCGGCGAAATATGCCGGCGCGAAGGCGTTCTTGTGTTAGGAGGTCCGGAAATCAGGTAGGGTGATTACATGTTCAAATGGAGATCACCAGTGGAAATCAACAGTC